CACTAACTTTACATAATCTTTTCTATAAGTTCTATAAGAATACTTCCTTATTTTATGAAGCTAGTGTTATCCTGATATCAAAGCCAGACAAATACAGCATATATACACGCAAAAGAAAGAAAACTGAAGATCAATATCCCTCATGAATACAGATTCAAAAATACTTTTAAATATTAGCAAATATAATTCAATTATATGTAAAAAGAATTATTCATCATGAATAATTCATTTTTTTTTTCTGGGGATGCAAAGCTGGTTCAATGTTTGAAAATCAATCAGGGTAATCCACCATATTAACAGGCTAAAGAAGAAAATAAAATCACATAAGCATATCAATTGATGCAGAAAAAGCATTTGATAAAATTTTACATCCATTCATGCTAAAAACACATAAAAATATAGGAGTAGAGGGGACATCATCAATTTGATAAAAAGCATCTATAAAAATCCTACAGTCAACATTATATTCAATGTTTTACTCATAAGATCAGAAGCAAGGCAAGGATGTGTGCTCTCACTGTTGTTATTAAACATAATGCTGGAAGGCATAGTGCTATAAGGCAAGAAATGAAATAAAAGGTCGACATACTGGAAAAGAAATAAATCTGTATTTGTAGATGACATGATTGTCTATGCATAAAATCTCAAGAAATCTACCAGAAAAAAAGAAAAGACAAAACTCATCTAATAAACAATAATAAATCAAGATCACAAGATATAGCATAGACATAAAGTAATCACTTATATTTCTATATACTACCAATGGGCACTAAATTAAAAATACAATAACATTTATGATCTCATAAAAATGCAAATAAGTATAAATCTAACAAAACAGAGGATCTGTATGCTGAAAACCACAAAATGCTGATGAAAAAAATCAAAGATCTAAATAAAAGCAGATCTGTGTCATGTTTATGGATTAGAAGATGACACAACAAATACTAGACAATTTACTAATAATCAATATAGTAATAGTTCTCCTCAAATTGCTGCATAGGTTTAATGTAATTCCTATCAAAAGCACAGTGAAATTATGTTTAAAAGACAATATCACTCTAAAACATATATGGAAAGATGAAGAAGTTAGAATAGTTAAGACTATTTTTATAAAGAAGATAATGTGGGAAGAATTAGTCTACTTAATTTAAAGTCTTATTATAAAGCTTCAGTAATCAAGACAGAGGTGAAAGGATTGACACATAGATCGATGGAACAGAATAAAGAACCCAGATATAGGCTCATACCAATATGTTCAACTGATTTTGGGAAGGTGAACGTGACCATAAATTGGCAACATGGGGGACCCATGTGGTGGTGATGTGTGTCTGAATCTTCATTGCATTAATGTCACTATCCTGGTTGTGATGGTTTTGTAGGATGTTATCATTGGAGGGGTCTCGGTGAAGGGTCCACAGGGTCTCTGTATTATTTCTTACAACTGCATGTGAGAACCTGAGATTGTCTCAAAATTAAAACTTTAATTAAAAATATTTAAAGGTGATGGGAGCAAGTTACATGTGAACATAAATGGGCATGAGTTAATATTATTTATTTAGTTTTGAAATTACTTTTAACAAGGCCAATATGAAACTTGATTAAATTCAAGAAATCATCACAACTAAAAGATTAAATTTGGAATCGAATTGTATTTTATATTTAAAATGAAAAAAAAAAAGCAAAACAAACCAAAAACACTGCACATATGTGTGTGCGATGTGCATGTATTTCTCAGCTTCGTCCCCTGAAAACTCCTGGAAACATTGACTAGCCCAATAATAATATATTATTTTGCACCTCTAGGGTCCAGATGGTGACCTCTAATTTTAATTTTTCACTAAAATATATAAATGCTCCTTGAGGAAACACTTAATTCCAGATTTGGGACCAGGGAAAAGAAAACATTATTTGGAACCATGTGTTCATATTCCACTAATGCCAATTTTATGTAACACAATCGCAATCATTTGTATTATTATATTATGATAAGAAAAACAAAACTATTTATGGTAGTGTCTAATACTTGTGTTGAGCTTTCAACTCAAATCCCGTCAATACTGATGTCATCCATATCTTATAAATAGGGTCAGAAGCTCTTAATCTTGGAGGGCCCCTGCAAAATATTATTTAACACATGAAGAAAGTCTCAAAGAGCTAAAGTTGTTTGTTCATCATCACAAAAATAAATTCACCTGCTTTATGATATATTCATTTTATACAAAGTAAAATTTTTTACTAAACTCTGTGCTTCCTACCAGCATCAAACTGCCCTCATTGAATGTTTGCACTTGTATGTATGTATCAAATATCTTTTTCTAGGTAATTTGGCCAGTTGGAGTCTCCAACTGGGAAGTTCTGAACTTTAGTTTTAATGGTAGACCTTCAGATTTTTCTTTAAATATCCAGGTACAACCAGGGTGCCATTTATGAGAACTTTCCAAAGCATGTGATTTGTATAATGAAAGACTCATCAGCATAATCTTAAATTTAAAAGACCAGCACAATGTTAAACTACATTTGGTCACAAGACAACAAAACCTTTTTGTTCATTTCACCAAATACAGAGGGTGCCAAAAACATGTATACACATTTTAAGACAAGAAAACTGTATTAAAATTGTAATACTCGGGGCAGCTGGTCAGCTCAGGTTGTTAGAGTGCAGGCTCATAACATCAAGGTTGCCGGTTTGATCTCCACCTAGGTCACGGAGCTGCACCCTCCACAACTAGATTGAAGACAACTACTTGACTTGAAGCTGATGGGTCTTAGAAAAACACACTGTTCCCCAATAAAATTTAAAAAAATAATTGTGATACTCAATATATACCAATAACAAAAGATGAATACAAGTCATGTTTGACTTTTGAAATTACAAGAGGTGCTCAAAGTTGTTCACATCGGCATCCAGACACTTCTGATTACGGCAAACTACTGGTTGAGCAACGCTGACCGAAGTGTCCACTTGTATAAATTTTATGACACTCCCAGTATTTATTGAGTGTGTCTGTTGGGCAAGTCATTTGCCTAGATGCTGCAGGATGACAAAGCTGAACATACTAAGGCCACTGCCCTCAAGGTACAGTAGCAGTTTTACTGCAGGAGTTAGGAATGGTCATCACAAAGCAGGGCGATAACAGCAGCCAAGGTAGATGAGGAATGTATTTAGAGATAATCAGGTAGTTCAAGGCCTTGTGTGTGTGTGTGTGTGTGTGTGTGTGTGTGTGTGTGTGTGTGTTTAATTCGGAATCATTAGATTCCCATGAAAAGAGTAGGTTGAAAATATAGATTGGAGCCATATGGAGGGGAACTCTTCACTACAGGATCAGCTCTGGGGCCTGAAATGATTTGACAGAGTCCACATGGATTCAAAGTGGCTTAGAAGGACGTGTTCTGATTTCCCTTCCTTGGTTTCACTGGGCACTGCTGTACCTATGTAGGAAAGCGTAGAGAAGACAAACCTCTAGATTAAGGGTTCTTGATGCCAACACTATGGACATTTGGGGCAGATAATTCTTTAATGTGAAGCTGTGCAGTGCACTATGGGATGTTTAGCAGCATCTGTACCCACCCACCCTCTCACTGGTGACAAACATAAATGTCTCCAGTCACTGGCAGGTATCCCTGGGGCCACCATCAGCCCTGCTTGGGAACCGCTATGCTAGATTATGTAAAATTGTTCATCTTCAACCATGTATAATATGTGACATAATATATAGCTCACATTTTAATATGGGTAAGCCATGTTCTAGTGCAAGAGCAAACTGGATGATTAGGTGATGATCTAAGGGCATCTGAAAGTTATTTAGTGTTTCGGCATTGCCTCAGCTCAACCAGTCTTCTGATCCAAATTCACATTAGAAAAATCTGAAAATCTGCAGGATGTCTGGGGTTTCTGTGCCATTTAGACTTTTGTGACAATATAGAATAAAAACTCAGAAAGACTTTATTGTAAGATAGACTTGGTCAGGCACTGGAATTCCAAAGCCATTTAGGAATCAAGGCTTATTAAGGGGTATCTGGCCCTTTTCTAGGTTCCTTTCACTCTCCACTTAGCCTCTTTCTCATAGATTCTCTGTTTAGTCCCCTCTTGCTACCAATGAGACAGTCCTCTCTGGGCTGTTTCGTTAAAATTCCCAAAGGAGTGGGTGATTATTGCCTTTATTGGTCTAACCGCCCGTCCTTTTTCATGGGGGAGGTAGCATGAAGAGGTGGTAGTCACTGGGCAGCTGCCTCCCTGGGTTCAGTCCTGACCCACCCTGGGCAAAGGTACACCTGACCGTGGTACCCTGCCCAAAAAAGTTCTCACAAGAAGCGGAAGCAGCTGGTGAAACCCATAAGCCTTATGGCTGATGTGACGTCTCAGGACTACATTGGCGTTCACATTTAGCTGACATTAGGACAGGAAAACCATGTCTCTTCAAAGATCATGTTCCCCAGGCCAGACTGGAATACCAATAAAAGCAGGCCGTGAAGCTATTTAAGTGTATGCATAAGTAAAATATAGTGAAGAAACCTGTCCTTTGAATAATCCACAATTATTCAAAGAATTATGTCACACGTTTTCTTTATTATAAAGACTTCAGATTAATGGTTTTGATTATCTAAAAGAACTTTTTTTAATAGAGACCATTCAATTTGTCAAACTGAAATCACGCTTCCTTCCCCAAATGCCGTGGAATCTTTCTGCTTGGTTTAGAGAGATTTCTGAGCAGGTTAGAGTCCTGCAGAATGAAAGGAACTATGTGAATGTGAGTCACTAATCTCACAATCAGAGGAGGGCTTCACAAACGAGAGCAGGAGAGGTGTCCCTAGTTTAATGTACAGAACGAGGACATGCAGGCGAGCGCTTTGAACTTGCATGTGATGTGAGCGCTAAGACTTGAAGACGCTTCTTTTATGAATAATTTAAGACTTCCCCTGAGTCAAATTATTCTTTAAAGGAAATTATTTTCGTGATCATGTTTTATCATTAGTAATTATGCTATTTTCTTTTATTATAGGTAATGTATGAAATTGTTGGAGCAATTGAAAAAAATAAAGACTCCCTTTCACAGAATCTTCTGTTCGTAATGAAAAGTAAGTTTTCCCCTACTGTGGTTTAAATGCCACCCATTATTTCTCTGAACATTGTCCTATAAAATATGTCACCAGCTAAAGGATAATTGAAATATTTTTTACATTCTAATGCCCAGAAAAATAAAGAATGGATCTTTCCACACTATACTTTGGTTACAATTTAATTTGGAGTCTAGTAGAAACCATAATTTAACTAAGCTTTTAGCAGATAGAAATATAAAGCACCTTTAACACTCTAGTGTTATGAATATAAAAAAGCTCTTCTGTGAAGACTAATGAAGATGAATATGGCTTCCAAAGTTATTTAGGCCACAGCAGGGTGAATTTCATTACTTAAGATGACGCTGGAGCACACCTAAGGGTGGTATTTTATTCTTATGTATTTCATATAAAGAAAGTAGAATGAGCATATAAATTTATATATACATGCATATATGTATATATGTACATAGCAACATAAATGTATAGGTTCCATCTACTTAGTGAACTTTAGCACTTTATATACATCTATCTATAATTCTATACTGTATGGAAAACTATATATTACATTTATATATGGCATAATTTTATATATATATATATATATATATATATATATATATATATATATATATCCTCTAGTAATTATTTTAATAGCAGTTCTGCAGTGATTCACATTCTCCTAACAACCTTTTCAATTAATTAAAATGTATCAGCTTCTGTGCTTGAAGTTGCTCTAAATGAGATAGAGTCATTTATCTTTCCCGGAGAAAGAAGCATATGAAAGCCTTTCATGGAATATCGAGTGCCTTTGAGCTGGAAATAAGACATCCATATCACTTCTGGTGTGAGGAACATTTTTACCTTAAATCAAACAGCGTGGTTGCAGTATATTGTTTTTCCTGGGGAATTAATTCTGCCTGCCTCTCAAAACTTAGGATTTTTGTGAGTTCTCTTAATGACTGAAACTAATGATAAAAGTATGGACTTGCATAGAAGGAAAGAATTGAAATAACTGATCTTCTTGATTATCACTGGAAATATCTTACTCCTAGGTTCAATTATTTGAACTTTATAGCATACTTTCATTCAAGCCATATAGTTTATGAAAACCTAATATATAGCATATTTTCCAAATGGGTGCAATGTCTTTTTCTTTATTTTTCTTTTTTATGGTGATAGAATATATATTTAGAATGAGAATATATTAGCTAGTGATATTACAGTTCTGCTTACGAGTATTTTAAGAGAGTCTCTAGATTTTAAAGTCGTTTTTTGTGTACACTTACTAAGAAGTTCCAAGAGGAAAAACAAGTGAGTCCTGTTTTATTCTAAATTCTTTAGGCTGTAGGCACTTGGAATAAGAGGACAGAATTTAATGTGCCTTTATATGTTTACGCAGGACATGGCAAACATTTTTTTTGTAGAGGGCCAGAGAATGGGATTTGTGAGCCATAAGATCTCTCTTGCAACTATTCAACTCTGCTGTTATAAGGAGAAAGCAACCCTAGACAAAACAAATGGACATGGCTGTGTTCCAATAAAACTTTATTAACAAAAACAGGCAGTGGGTCGGATTTGGCCCACCGGACTCACCTATTCTAGCATATAAACAAGAGATGTATGGTTGTGATAATATTTTACCAATCTGTGGAATGTTAATGCTGTAAATACGTATTAAAAATGTAATTTATATATAATAATAATTTTTATTTCCAGGTACCTTGCTAAGTACTTTGAACACAGTGTCTATTTCAACTCTCATATCATCAAAAAGCTCCCAGTGAACGAAGGCGGTAGGGTCTGTTGTAAGAGCCATACAAACATCGCTGTGCCTGTGAGGCACCAGACCAAGGCAGGCAGGTGGCCTGGAGATACAGCTCTTGCAGACATGCAGCAAGTGCTCTCATTTGTGCCTGAGATTAGAAATAAAGTCTACTTGATTCAGAAAGAGGAAAAAAAGTCAACATCTAGACTATTAAGTCTGCTTATAAAAATAGGAAATTTTGTGATTTACTGTCAATAATGCTGTTAATTATTGAGTTTTTTTGTCTCTGAGTGTCTCTGCATACCTGCTTCTAAACCGTGGGCACCTGACTTAGCTAAACCTGTATTGCTGACAAAAAGACACTCGATGTCATGTTTATAGACGCCAGCAAGGAGTGCTTTCCTTTTCAATGTGTACAATATAGAGTGACGAAGAAAATGGCCTGCAGTAAGGGACCCCTTGTAATAGGAAAGAAAGGCTAAACCAGCGTCTTCACCAGGGCTTTCTTTATCAGGTTCTGAGAAGCAAAAGGATGGCAGAATTTCTCTTTTCAGGTCCCAAAAAACCTGCTCTCACCTCACATTTGCTCAGTTGTGGTCAGGGCTCTAATGTCAATGTCCCAAAGCGTGATGGCATCCTCCTGTGTCAGTAGGATGACACTAGTACTCCTGTATCTTCATGCAGCCTGACCATATGATTCAGAGAGAGAAACCTGTCAATTGCATGTTTTGGTCCATATTTATGTCTAGTGTTCATATTTTATGAAAGACTTTTTCCCCCAATTATAGGAATAACATTGCAATATTGATCTGTGGTTCCATCCATACATAGACTTGCTGTAAATATAATTTTATTTAAATGGACCACGGTATTATATATATTTATTGTTTAACTGTTTGAAGTAATTTTAAACTTAAATAAAGTTACAACATTAGTGCAAAGAAATCCCATATGCCCTTATCCCAGATTCATTTTTTTTCTCGCTTCTGTCCTTCGTCTTTTACTCTCTCCTCCCTCCATTCCTTTCTTTCTTTCCTTCCCTCCCCCTTCCTCCTTCTCCCCTTCCTCTCTTCCTCTTTTTCTCCTTCCTTCCCTCTCTCCCTCCTTCTCTCTGTATATGGGTGTGTACATATATTTTCTGTACTATTTGAGAATGTTACATGTATCTTTATGCCTAAACACTTTGGTATATATCCTGAGATCAAGGACATTATCTTACATAACATCAGTAAATTACCAGAATATTTAACATCGATACGATAATAATGTCTAACCCAGAGTCCCTGTAAAGCTTTAGCATTTAACCTATATCACTGTTTTAAGGTGGCATCCTTCTGGTTTTCCTAATTGAAAGTCGCTGTTGTATCTTTGATAAGTAATTTGTAAGGAAGTTCTTTGAGACAATGCAAATATTTTCTTCCTCGTCAAAATTTCACCCATTGGTTTTGCATAAATTAATGATTTTTACTAAATTAATGATTTTTCTAATGGTTTCAAAATTGCGATTTCCTAACCCCATTTTTCCATCAATAGTGACAGTCTACTAAGAACTCCCCTTTCTAATTAATTAATTAGTTATCAGTATGGACTCATTAATTATTTTTGCTTGTCTACCTGTCCCTTTCTAAAAATATATTGATGTACTGTTGGTTGATAACACTATGTAAATTTCAGATGTACAACATTATAATTTGGTATCTGTACACTCTATTGTGTACTCACCACCAAACGTCTAGTTTCTTGTTACCATACATTTGACTCCCTTATTTTATTCAATGAATTGTAATCTATTACTATCATTATTTTGATGCTGAAATTGCCCACGATGTGATCAGTGAGAACCCCTTCAAGCTAGCTCCTGTGTCCTTCTGGCAGGTCCTCGTGATCTTTTTTAGCATGTCCTTTCATTTTCACCTTCCAGGATGTTCCAAGGATTATCTTCCTTGCCTCAGATCTAGAATCAGCCTTGTGTCCAAGAAGCCTTGATTTATTTAGCGGAGAATAATATTACTAAACACTAAGGCCCCGGAACTTGGCAAGCTCATTTTTACTGGGATGTCATGGCTTTTTGGCCCTTTCATAACTACAAAATTAACATATAAATATAGATAATGTATAGATATTATACTTAGCTACATATTAAAAGTCACAAATTTATGCTGATACCTCTAATTTCAGTCCAACACCACAGGGCTCCTTTTTGCCTTCTTGCATTCCATAATTGTGTCTCCCTTCTCTGACATTTCTCCCTGGTTCCCTGTTTATTTATCAATGTAGTGACTTTGCGTTGAATGCACTGCTAATAAATATGTTAGCCTGGGCAAGCAAACTAATCTCGGTGTGGAAAAGGTAGAAATGAAACTGCTTTGCTACTAAACATAGCTGACTATCTGATGGGCTAAGCATGATCCTAAAGAATTTATGTACATTATTTCACATTTTAATCTTGTAGTAATCCTCAAAGTACATAGGTATGGCCATGGTCACTTTATAGAAAAGTATAAGGCTTAAGAGCTGTCTACATACAGATACAGGTAACATAAGATCCTTCTAAGTGCCTTCTAGACCCTTAAACACCATATACAGTTTTCACTGTGCTATTTAAAGACATAACCAAAAATCCTTTCATCATTGTTCCAGTTTCTTTCTGAGGTGTCAGGAAACGAATGTGGGCCCAGAATTATTAGAATTTGTATAATCTAACATCTAAAGTTTATCAGCTTGCTTTTACCTTTGCAGCTTAACAGGGTGAGAAAAACAGGCACTTCTTTCACCTAACAAGCTACAACAGATGAGAAAGGGTCTCCCACAGGTATTTACATACAGCTCTGAGACAGGCCAGGTAGATCCTGGGAAAATGTGTTCCTGGGGAGGTATTTTCCTGGAACAGGGAGCTGCTGACATAATGCATGACTTCATGACTTGGTCAAGTGCACTAAAGTCTCTTAGGTCTGAGCAGGTAAGATTCTGTTCTAATAGTTAGAAGAGTAGTAAGTGACACTCCGTGAGAGAGAGAGGGCCCAAGTGCTCAGGTGGAGAACCAGGACTCTTGGCCAAGAGCAGGGTCAACATTCATTGGATGGAATGATTAACAGTGGGGAGAATAAAATAGGGGCAAAGGGAAAGACAGATTCCTCAGTTACATCTTCCACTCAGAAAGTTTTACTGGGTAAATCACTTGGATGAGGTGCAAGTTGAATATAAATAATGATCTTAATGCCATTTACAATATTTATTTATTTATTTATTTATTTATTTATTTATTTATTTATTTATTTATTTATTTATTTATGTCTTAGCTAGTGAAAATGTCGTGATCAATCATTTGTTCCAGTCGAAACTGTCACAAACAGGATCCCTTCTACCTGCCTATCCTTCTTTTAAATTCAGAGGACATAAATCTGCCCTGCTCAGTAAGAGAATGACAGCATCTTCCATTATCGGAGAAAACAGAAATTACCTAGAACTGAGTAAGGTAGGAAATTTTGTGATTCTTGTTTGTTTTGTTGTTTTTTTAAGTGGGCTTGGGACATTTGTTCCTTTTTTTAAAAAACACCATTCTGAATACTAATGGAAATAAATTGATATTTTCATTTAAACAAAATGTACAGAAAAGGATGGCTACCTGAATTATATAGCCAGGAGTATAGTAAAGTACCGGAGAGGGAAAATTCCATAGCAAATACAGTATTAGTAATTGTACTGGTTGTCTGTGCAACTTTCTATTTATGTTTCATCTCTGTGAGTGCCTTTGTAATGAATGGGAAGCAACTTCAGAGATAGTCGGCTTACAAGGAATTAACTTAGCTACCTCATTCGGTTGATATTAATCACTTCAGAGGCTTTAGGTCTCTAAACAATAAATTGTAGTTTCTCCCAGACAGAGTGTATTTTTCAGGTGCTCAAATATTTTCACTGTGTACTTTGTAGCATTTTAACTTATTTTTTTTCATTATACTATTTTTTAACATGTATTTGTGCCGCACGAGTATGGTCGAATGTACAACCTAACAGTTCTAACTATTTGTGAAATAGAACTCAAAATTCAGTAATGAATTCAGTCCTTACAGACTGTGATGTTTTAAGTTTAAAAATTCAGTGCCTGATTGTCGCCCAGTTTGTTTTGCTTGCCTCCACCAAAACCCTAAAAGATGAGAAATATGATTGGGAAGGTGTCCAGGACAATCATTTTTAGATACTCAGTTGTAGCTTGCTGGAATGCATTTTAGCTTACCAATTAAAATAAAATTATAATTAAAATCAGCTCCATTTTAGAAGAGTGGCAGAAAAGTGTATAATATATTAGAAATGTGTGCGCATGTGTGCATAGCTGGTAGGCCCTAGACTTAGGGGGATCCTTTGATATAGCTGTTCCTGCACTGTATGATCACAGGAATTCAATCTCACTGAATGCAAAATGGCATCTTTTACATAAAAAAGACACAGCATTATTACCCTTTGTAAGGAAGAGCTCTCTCCCTGAGGGTTTCCCTGAACCTCCTGGCCCTTCCTTTCTCAGTCATCCTGGAAATCACTAGCAAGAAATCACCACACACCTCTAAACTGTAATTTTTAACCTTAATTATTAAACATTACCAGGCATAGACGCCATTAGTCTTTTCCCTAAAGGACCGCAAAGGGGAGATAATTCACTGTAGTTCTTCCCCCCAGAAAGGGAAATTGAGTGTTCAATTTCAAGGGATGGAGATTTATTTATTATGATTATTCCTTAAGTGTCCCATTTCTCACTTCTCTTCAAACTGCCCTCTCCCTGAACACCCATCCCTGTGACCGCCAGGGTAGGATTCTACCTGCTCTTTTAACTGAGCATCACACTTGGTTTTGTGTTTATAGGAAAAGGTTGATCCTGGACCAGTTGCTTCACTTTACAGTCCCTTCATTTCATAGTCTCTTGTCAGTTACAATTAATCATTTCAGTGTGACAGTTCATCTTAATGGAAGGAAATGAGCTATTGTCATGGTAGCAATAGCATCAAATTGTCAAGAATGTGCTTTATCAGAAATTTTCTTCTATCAAGATTTTTTATTTCTTTTTTTATTTTAAGATATATGATACTGGATATATATGTATATTTTTATATACATATATGTCTAAGTCTGTGGTTTCGTGAAATGTAATAGTACATTAGTGGCTGAGATTCCTTTTAACCCCTGGTAGAATTTAACTAATTGCCTTCTTCCCTTTAGCTCTTCACTCACCAGCTTCATTTCTTCTGACTTATTTTATCTACATTATCATTTAATCTTTGTTACATGTGATTTTTTTTTCTTCTAAGAGCTGTATATAATTAGTTCTTGAAGAAAACAGTCTATTGTCATTTTTCACAGACAGGTAACCTTTTAGTGTTTTGTTGTTGCTGTTGTTTTGTTTTGTTTTGTTTTTTAAAAAAAAGAGAAGAAAAGGAAAGGACAAAAAAAAATTGGTAAGAAACTGTAGTCAATCTTAAGGGAACAAACCAATGACTGTTATAACATCAAATGTTGTAACATACAATAGTATCATTTTGCCCCAGAATAAAGGATGGGGATTTATTTATTATAGTTATTTCTTAAGTGTTCCATAATAAATGTGGACAATTAATAATACAACCAGTAATAATAACAGAGAGAGTTTACTGTACCACCAAGCAATACTTGATCTATGTTAATTCTCAAATTAAAGTGGGTGCAGGATGGTGACAGCCATGGACTTGAAAGGTTGGCAGTAATGGGTGGTATTTTACATGTAGTTGCCATTACCCCAACTTATGGTTCCATTCCAGAAATAATTTGGTACTGATTTTTATAGTCTGTTTTAAATCTATATCTGCTTGTAAGTGAATTTACATGGATGGGAAGGTTTTTGTTTTTGTTTTTCTTTTTTCTTTCTAAATGGAATTTAGTAAACTAAATTTGCTCACCCTTTCTTTCTTTTTGCTTTCATTATAGTTATTAAAAAAGAAAGGAACTTCTACATTTCTTCAAAGACTAGACCGAGGAGGCCCGGTAACCATTGCATCACAACTCAGGGTTAGTGTTTTTTTCAGATTTCAAAACTTACATTTTGATTATATCAACTGTAGAGGGTTTATGTAGAATTTTCCCCATTTTTGACCCCTGAGTATCTTCAGAAGAAGTGCGTATGCATGCACACACACACACACAGAGTGAGTGAATGCATGATAAATTTAATAATTCATGGGTAGAAGATAAAGATTTTTATTTAAAAACTGCTTTCTATTTTCAGTCAGTGTCTTCTTTGGAGAATCAGTTTGGTTTTACTTCTCTCCTTAGAAATCTTTAACGGATATTATTGGAAAACTTCAGAAGTGCTCTCCACACTTCATTCATTGCATCAAGCCCAATAACTCAAAGCTGCCAGATACGTTTGATAATTTTTATGTGTCTGCTCAGCTACAATATATTGGGGTCCTGGAGATGGTGAAGATCATCAGATATGGATACCCTGTTCGCCTTTCCTTCTCAGATTTTCTGTTAAGGTAAATTCTGTTCTTGAAATACTGTGTCTGTTGTTCAGTGTAGCATACTGACAGTACTGCAGCAAGGGTCTTCTATTTTTTTCTGGCATTGCTTTTATTGTTTACATTCTTCTATATTGAGCAAACAAAATATTCTGGGAAACAATGAAATGCATTGACAAAGCTAATGTAAAAAGTTACTAAATGTCAATACCTTGGAAATCATTTTCATATTCTCTTAAATTTGTGGATTTAAAGATTTATAAAATTGTTGCATATAATTTTTACATAAAAATTATTATTTAAAGGAAGAACACACACTCTCTCTCTCTCTCTCTCACACACACACACACACACACACACACACACACACACACACACNCACACACACACACACACACACACACACACACACACACACACGGTTGGACAGTTAAGTTCACGAACTTATCCTAGAAAAAGCGCTACATGCCTCATTGCTGAATATCACTGCAGTCACCTTCGAAGTACTCCCCTTGGGAAGCTAGGCACTGATGCCAGCACCTAGTCCACCCTTCAAAGCAAGTTTGGAACTTTTTCTGGAGTGACTATCAGAGCTTTTGTCATATTACACTTGATGTCCTGAATGTCATCAAAATGTCTTCCTTTCAATATTTCCTTTATCTTCGGGTAAAGAAAGAAGTCATTGGGGGGCCAGATCAGGTGAGTAGGGAGGATGTTCCAATACAGTTATTTGTTTACTGGCTAAAAACTCCCTCACAGACAGTGCCGTAAGAACTGGTGCACTGTCGTGATGCAAGAGCCATGCACTGTTGGCGAAAAGTTCAGGTCATCAGACTTTTTCACACAGCCTTTTAAGTACTTCCAAATAGTAAACTTGGTTAACTGTTTGTCCAGTTGGTACAAATTCGTAATGAATAATCCCTCTGATATCAAAAAAGGTTAGCAACATAGTTACAACAAGTTTGCAAAGTTAATTGTCAGATTGTCAGACCTCGTGTGTGTGTGTGTGTGTGTGTGTGTGTGTGTGTGTGTGTGTGTGTGTGTGAAAGAGAGAGAGAGAGAAGGGTTATTTTCTCCTTTATGTCTATGAACAAAATATTTTTTTAGATTAGGGATTGACAAACTACTCATGGTCAAACCAGCCTATTTTTGTAAATAAAGTTTTATTGGAACACAGGCAGTGGTGAAATAATGAGAATGTCTGTTTTTAGGGTATCAAAAAATAAAAAGGGGGGGTGGACAAAAGAAAACCAGGAAGCATCTTAATTCTATACAAAAAAAAATTTTTTTAATAATTTTGATATAAAATAATATTATCAACATTACAAGAATAAAAGCTAGCATTTATGGTTAAAAACTAACTGTTCAACTATAGCATGGAAAATCTTTTTGACAAACCATTCATTTAAGAGGGTTTTAAAAAATATTTTTGTTGATCAGAAGTTCAATTTGAGCTACCAGTGTGAATAAGCTGTTAAACTAAACCAAACCAAACAAACCTAAAAACTTAAATCAGTAAGTTGGAAATATTTAGTTCAGAACAAAGGGCATAATATTTCTGACTAAAATTCTGTGTTCAATTTTTTGTAACACTTGTTTTTCCAGAAGATAGAAGTAGCATTTCTTCATTGTGCATCCTGGTAAATTTCATAAAGGCACAAAGAAGCACATAAAAATCAACAAGCGTTTTCTTGAGCCATTCAGTTTTAAAAGACTGATAGAATATTTTTAGAAGAGAGAAGATAAAATCAGCCACATGTAGTGAGAAATTATTTGAGGAATGAATAAGTTTAACCTGCAGAATATATATTTCAGATAGAGAAGATATTTGTTTTAAAACTTAAAAGATGCTTATGAATGAGCTAATAGACACAAACTGTCTCCTATATAGGGAAGAATTGCAACATATTACCCACATATAATAGTTTGGTCATTAAAAGTCACCTCTTCCACTCATTTAAGTACAAATTGTCTCTGGATTAGTGAGTTTAAAACCTGTCCCTATACAAGTTTAAAGCAATAGATTCCCAGAATCACCCCAGACCTTCGGAATGATAATCGATAGGGAGGGAGAGCCAAGGGACCCCCTGGTTTGTCTTGCTGTGATGGGGAAGGTGACATTACCTGCTGCTCTCAGAGGGTCCAAGGCCTTAATAAACTATAATGTGGTCATCAGTAGTAACTGCCTTCACAAGCATCGCTAACATTATTGCCCATCAGAGTCACTGTCGGTTGTTAAAATACCGATTCCAGGGCAGTACACCCATAGTTTCCAACTCAGTAGGCCTAGGTGAGGCCAGTGAATTAGCATCTCTAATGAGTTCCCAGGTGGTGTTGACATTGCTGGTATGTAGACAACCCTTCGAGAACCATTGGCCTAGACTACCTAGTCACTTGGGCACAATGTCTTTGTTTTGTTCTGTGTTTCTCCAGCCCAGGGTTGAGAGGATGTGAATGTCTTGATAAACAAAGTGAATTTGTTGAGAATGCAAAAATCAGTTCTTTTTTACTAAATTACTGAATTGAAATATGCAAATTTGTTGAGATTCCCAAATGATCTGTATGCACTTGGAGCCTGAGAAGCACTGTTAATGGATTCTTATATTGGATATGAAATAGGATTAATCTGTCTCTATGAATAATTTTTAAAGTGTATTTAAAGCATTTCTTCTACTTCTTTATTTTGTTAGAGTGTCCTAGAATCATGGAATCACAGAGGTTTTGCATTAAAGGCTCCCTTAGTGTTGCACAGCTCTAATCTTTGGTAGCTGCATGAATTTTCCTGATAACTACTCTGACAAGCAGTTAATTGTCCTGTTCCCACAGAAAAGGGTAGAGAGTGTGTGTGTGTATGTGTGTGTGTGTGTGTGTGTGTGTGTGTATAATATTATATATCATAATGATTAGAAAATTCTTATTACCTTTTTATTTACCAAGTGTAGTTTGACATATCTATTCTACCAGGATTTACCTCTATTAAAATAGCATATGCAATTAGTATACAATAAAACCTTGGATTGCGAGTAACTTGGTTTGCGAGTATTCCGCAAGATGAGCAAACATTTCTAATATATTTTAACGTGGTAAATGAGCGATGTCTTGCAATACGATTAGTTTGTTTCCAGAATGAATTATCCTCGCAAACCAAGGTACTACTGTATTTTAAAATTAAGTATGATTTTTCATATGTATGTGTCTTTTGCTATTCCATGGCTTCTAGGCCTCGGCCATCTCTTAGTCAGTCACAATGCCTGTGCATTGTAGGTGTTTAATCAATATTTCAGAATGAACCTGGCATTGGGGATTAATGGTTATTCAGTTTAATGTTTTTTCATAGCAGAGATCAGAACCATACTTTATTAGTTTAAAAGAGTAGTGGGGATGAGAAATGATACTTTTTGATAAGTCTTTGCATTTCATCAGCCCTTATTTAAAAGGAAATGTGATTTCTGTGTATCATTCTTATTCACAATGACATATTAGTAGAAATGGAATTATTAATTCATTTCAATGGAAATGTGTCACCATCTCTCTTAAATAAAGGACATGGGTCTGGAATAGTATCACAAAAAAATACCAATCCATAGAGAGATCATCAGTTTCTATAGAACTTGAATAAATACAGTCTACATACTGTCACATCAAGAAATAACAATTTCATATTTATTCAGAAAGCTCATTAGAACTTTGAAATCCCCCCAGGCAATCAAGCATCATTATATAAACAAAGCCTAGAGGTGCAATTTAATAGAAATTTTTGGTTGCCAAAATATCAGATAACAGAATGTATTGTTCCTATGTAGAATGTTTATTTTCTATTCATAGCACCTTGTCTTAACTGTTAGAGAATAAAATCCTGTCAAAACAAATAACTTTGTTTAGTGTACAAAAAGGAATGCTGTATCCAAAAAAAAAAAAAAAACTGGACAAGTAGCAAAAAGATATCCAGTTTGGAAGCAAGCATTTATTTGAACAGCATTTATGGTTTCTGAAATCCAACATGATAATAAATGTGGATAATGGGCATTGCCATGGAATCTGTAGGTGGACGTGTTAATATTGCAGATTTGCTCCCTGGTACCCTGGCTTTAATAACTGTTCATCATTCTGAGTCTTCCTAATTGAAACTAGAGAATTGTGTTAGTTGAGAGGATCCTATTTCGATTAAGATTATGCTTGCTGAATTTTTTTCTTAATAACGTCAATAACTTCCAAGTGGGATGATAAAGATGTAAGGTTGTCTCTCATGACAAGAGACGTCACAAGTTTGGATATATAAAGAAGAAGGAAAGGAGTTGCAGAACTAAATCATTATGTAAAAATCATGATACATAATAGGAGTACCTATTGCTATGGACTGAAGTATGCCCCCCCCCCGCCCATTCATATGTTGAAGCCCTAACTCACAAATGATTGTATTAGGAAATAGGGCCTATAGGGAGGTAATTAATGTTAAATAAGGTAATAAAAGTGGGGCCCTGATCCAACAGGATTAGTGTCCTTATAAGAAGAGAGATAATTCATTCTCTCCCTTATATGCGGACATAGTGAGACAGCAGCTGTTTGCAAGCTGGACAGAGAGTTGTCAGTAGATACTAAAAAGCCAGCACCTTAATCTTGGACTTCCCAGCCTCCAAAACTGTGAGAAAATAAATTTCTGTTGTTTAAGCCACCCGGGCTATGGTGTTTTGTTATGGCAGCCCGAGCTGATTAAGATACCTGTGTTTGTAGCTATGTGTTTATATGGTGTCAATAGATAGCAAAGCTGGACAAGTTCCGTTGTGAAGTTTTGGGTACTTTGTTCATGTTATTTGATATGTTTGTGCTAATAGAAAGAAATATAGTTTGCCTGCACATGTCATGTGGTTTCAGAAAACTGGCTTTGCTCATGCAATCGTATCATCCTTTCTACCTTTTTCTCCAGTTTCTCCATGCCATTTACTTGATATTCAAGATTCATTCAAGCATTCTCTCCTTTGGAAAATCTTTCATAAAATCCCCAATTGGATTGTGTGGATTCTTTAAGCTTCAAAAAGGCCTTGGGTAACACACATATCATGCGCATTAGATCATACTGGAAACATTTATTTATGTTCCAGTCTCAACCACTAGACCAGAAGTTAGCGAAGTACAGTCCACAGGCCCACTCTGGCCTGCCACCTACTTTCTTATGACTCGAGAGCTAAAAATGTTTTGTTTTTGTTTTTAATATATTTTTTAATTGTCACATTTTAAATGGTTACTTGCATAGCTACATAATATCCTTGCCTCTTGGTATACAATGCCTAAAGTATTTCCTCTCTGGGGCTTTACAGAAAAACAGCTCTTCCTGCCCCAGGCCATAGGCTCTGTGGACGAGGGACATCCTCATTTTGAATTTCTGGGTCTAGGAGAATGTCAGTCACCCATAATACTTCTGGATCCAACCTCTGTGAAACGGAGCAGTAGAAATCTGATCTACTCTGCCTTCTAAACAACTTTCTCTGAAGTTGGTCTGATGCCTGAGTTTGTGGGCTTTTTCTGATGCCATTGTAAAGACAATTCTCACCAGTGTATTCTGTGAAACCAAAAATCCCAAGTCCGTGGCTCACAACAGCAAAGGTTTATTTCTCTCTTACGTTACACTTGACTGTGGTTTTAAGGTAGCACTACGTAAGCTCAAATCAGCTTTCTTCTGCGTCTCTGTTTCATGATGGGGTTCAGGGTGAAAAGATAGCCCAGATCTAGGACATGACCTTTCTATGAAAGAGGGAAAAGAGAAATGGCTGAGTGGCTATTACAACTTCTGCTGAGTGGTGGCACTCTGTTATATCCCATTGGTTGAATGCAGTTACTTAGCCAAGGCCAACATCAATAGGGTGGAGAAGTGTCCCAATCAAGTACTGCAAAAAATGCATATATGACCGAGTGGGAATTCGTATACTTCTGGCTCATTTGTCTCTTGTTTTGAGCCAGACCACCCCAAAACTTAGTGGTATAGAACAGTAATTTATTATTTCTCCTAGTTCTGTGGGTTAACTAGACCTAGTTGGGCAATTCTTGCCTGGGATCTTTCTAAACAGTTACAGTCACATAGCAGAAGAGGTTATTGTTAGCGGAAGGCTCAGCGAGGCTGGATGTACAAGATGGCTTCTTTACTCATTGGTCTGGTGCCTCAGTGTTCCCCCATATGGCCTCTGTCTCCAGCAGAATATCCTGGACTTCTTAAATGGCAGCTTACAGTTCCATGGAGACAGAAAGGAAACTTGCAGTCCTCTTAAAGGCTGGGCCTTGCTAGTACAGCATCACTGGCCATGTACTCTATTGGTCAAGGCAGCTGCAGACCAGCCCAGACCTTTTCAATGAGAAGAAAGCAATTGACAGTGGCCAACATTGAGAAAAGCTACCATATCCTCTTAGAGGAAGAGCATGCAAGTAATTGGGAACAATAAAAAATTTTTCATCCCTGTACTTATGAATTGCTATTATTTTCATGACTTCCCCAGTAAGTGTATGTGAGTCTGATGTGTTGAATAATATAATACCATCATATATTTTTTCCAAATTATAGAATTGTGGGAAAGAAGCGTATGAGTCAATGCTGAAGAAGTGGTGTTGAGAAGTCCTTAAAGG